AGCCGGAAGAGAACCCCCTACCTTCCGCTGCAGATCAGAGCAATGCAGGAGGCGGGGTTACTAAAAGAATAGACTTTTATTAAGTACTGTAAGTCTCTCTCCACGATCACAGGTGACCGTACCGCACGCCCAGATCCACCCTCCCGAGACATTCCCACGGACAACCCCCTGCCGGCGCAGCCTGCCCGCCATCCCCACCCCCGCCACTTTTCCTCCCGAAGCGGGACCGTCCCAACTTACATGGATAAACTAGGGAGCAAACTGGGGGATTCTGGGGCTAGTGGGACAAGAGGGTTTTCTAGCCACAGGCTGAGGGGCACGGGAAGTCGAGGTAACATTGATCCACCCACTAAAACACGTGTCAGGAGCTGTAGAAAACAGGCCAGGGAGTTGCGGGAAGAACAGCAACAAAACCCATGAAGTTTCTGACTTGGATTTTGCCCCTCATAAATAAAAGCCGGAATTGTGACTTGACGGGCTGGCAAGAAGGACGATTACTCGCCTGCTCATTTCAGTGAAATGTCCTTTCGGGTTTAAACAAAAAATAGTCGCAAAACCTAGATTCTTGTGCTAGAAGCATTTTAAAAGTTGGGGAAAGAAAATCTAAGGCTAGTTAAACCTGGTTCAAGGAAGCTTCAAAGCTCTTTGGAGGAGGGGGGGGTGGGGGAGGAAACTCAGCTGGTTACAATTTAAGAACCAAAAAAACAAAAAAAAATTGAGACTTTTGAGGTTCGCTTCAGTAAAAATCTCACTAGTCGTTAGTTTGTATCCAGAAAAGCATCGATCAACGCACAAGAGCGGTGGCTCTCGCCGAAGCGGGCCCGGCCCAGGGGAGAAGCGAGGGGCGTGGATGGCGAGACACAGAGTAATAGAGGGTGGGGATAGAAACTATTTTAATTTCAAAATGGGGGGAGGGAAAGTTCATCTGAACCCCCCGTAGCCGTCAATAGCAGTGAGACCCCGAAGGAGTTTCTGCCTGGCCGGCAGGGGACGGGCTTTGATTTTACAATCAGCGTCCGAAGAAACTGAGGCACAAGCCTCCCTCCCGGAGGCGGGGCAGCCAGGAAGCAGAGCGGGACAGGGACGGCGCGTCTTTAGCAGGAACGCGGGGTGGTGCCAAGGCCTGGCTCTCGCTAATTCCAGTGGGCAGCCCTCGCCCAGCGCTGCCGGACTGAACGGCTCGACGCCAGCCAGGAAGCAGAGCGGGACAGGGACGGCGCGTCTTTAGCAGGAACGCGGGGTGGTGCCAAGGCCTGGCTCTCGCTAATTCCAGTGGGCAGCCCTCGCCCAGCGCTGCCGGACTGAACGGCTCGACGCCGGCCCCGGCTCCCTTCGGCCCCCCCCCCCGGGGCCGGGGGGGGCCCGGCGGGG